TTTATAGAACATTCCGAACCCATTTTTTTGCAGACCTGTGTAATTTGCATTCGAATACTTGCAGCCAATTGATTTTCATTTTCATTGTCTACTTCACTTTCATTCAAATTTGCTAGTGAGTCTGAAGGAGGAGACTCCATTATAGGATTTGGTGCGCCGTATTCTATGCAAATGTTATGCAAAGCTGCACATACATTTGCAATGACAGTTACCTTATGGGGGTCGTAGTGCAATTGACGAGCACTTAATAGGCAACGGAACCGATTTTTCAATACTCCGAATGTTCGTTCCACTACATTCCTTGCTTTAGCGTGCACTGAGTTGTAGTTGCTCTTTGGAGTATTGTTCGTTGAATCTCGAAATGGGGTCATTAGGTACGGTTCCAATGCATATCCAGCGTCACCTAAAAAATGCAAGTTGTAAAAATAATTTCACATCTCTTATCAAATTTGTACCCAAAAGCCAAGTATTTCGTTCGCCACTTAAATAACTTCGCTGCATTATGGCCTTCGCTTCACTGATACCCCATATATGCGCATCATGACTAGCACCTGGATACCTAGCATCAATAAACCGTATTCGCATTTTGTGGTCACAAATCTGAATTGAATGAATATGTAGTTAATTCAATGATCATAAGGTCATGCAGTTATATTGCACTTACTACCATAGCGTTTATGCTATAAAAACCTTTGCGGTTATAATAAAGATGTTTATTAAGCTTTGGCGGAAGTATCGCAATGTGACTTCCATCGACGCAACCAATGACTCCAGGAAATCGAGTTTTCGAATAAAAAGAGTGCTTAGCTTGTAGTTTTTCTTCCTGTGTCATATCAAATTTGATCCATTTTGAACACAAAACATTTTGCAGAATACTAAGCACTTCTTTGAATACTTTCGAGACAGTTGGTTGTGCCAAACCCAACTGAAAGTCATTTCCAACTCCACGTTGGTACCCGTTTTCCGCCAGAATCCGCAAAGTGGTTGCCAACTTAACTGTTGGGCATAAGCCCGTGGAGCGTTTCCTCCTTGGAAGATTCTTTTCGAGCTCTTCAAGTACATACCTAAACGCGTCTTTCGTTAACCGAAAATTTCTAACGAATCTGCAAGATGTGAACTATTTTGTTAAAATTATCAAATAAATAAAACATTTTTCGTGTCTTACACCACATCAGAAAGTTGAAAAGGATTTGCTCTTTGGCGAAGAATTTGCCGTTCTTTAATTAATTTTATATTTTCTTCGCTTTGAATTTCTTCATCCGAGCTAAAATATAGCTCTATGGTATCCATTTCATTAAGTACAACTTCTTTTAAATTAAACGTAAATACAAATAACAAATTATAAACAAAACAGATGTTTCTGTCAGCTGTCAAAATTTGTTTCATCTATTACAATTGTAGTAGAACAGTCGATATGTTGCAGGAATGCCTTTTTAAAAACGACACGTCGCAAAAAACGACTGTCGATGCGACCGACTTACGACAACCAGAATAGGGGTGATTACCCCCGCAATACCCCACTAATATAAACCGCTTTAAAACCAGGATATTCTCTCGACTCCGTCTTGGGCACACAACCCAAACACATGTATATCTCCTAAAAAAAGAAAACCCAACACTGCGAAAACTGCAACTCACAGCAAACATTGCAACACATCCTCAACGATTGCCCCCTATACGGAGAAGCAAAACAAACATTACTCGACTCACAGAACATTTCGGCAATACTCGCCATTCCCACCAGCACAAACATTGAAAAAATTGCAAGATTCGTTAAAGCTATTGGCGCGTATTCATAGTCCAGCAACTAAGCCGAAACTAACAAAGTTGCAACTTAAATTTAAGTACCAACATAAAATTTACCTCTATTCATAGTCGCATTTCAGACTTCTACTAAGTAGTTTCGACTTAGTTTACGATATAGCAAAACGAGTGTGAAAATGTATCGATTTTTCTTTACGATATTTTGGAAAAATTACATTTTTATTAAATAATGTCAAGTTTGATCATCCGTTTATGTAATTTTTATTTTCATTGCATGATTATGCAAAAGAATAAGGTATAATTTTCTTGTTAATTGTGTGAAATAGCCAGAACAACCGCAGTGATGTGAAGTCGATGTTTATCGAAATCATGCTGTGAAACATAGAAATAGTAGATATCTAAATGTTATGCACAAATTTACTTTAAAAGAACTAGCGTGAAACTGACTTATTATTTGAGAATTTATCTAAATTATTCCAATTATAAAATTGTGATGTAGCTTTATTCGAATTGTAATACGCATTTAATTTCATCTTCCGATTAGAATGGGTCGATCTTTGTAAATTTTAATTGGAGATTGTTCAATATTATCAAATTCACCTTCTACCAACTTAATTTTTACATATTTCGTCTGTTTTCCCTTAATTTGATAAAATACTTCTTCCTAGTTACGACTTAGTTGCAGCTGCAGCCGAAACTAAATTTTATGTTGGTACTTAGCCAAAAAAGTCGAAACTAAGGCGACTATGAATAGCTTTAGTTGTGACTTAGTATAGTTTCGACTTAGTTGAGTACTAAATATGACTACGAATATGCGCCATTGATTTGACCATTTAACCACCAAAACTACGAGACACATACAACACAAATATAAACACAACCCATTCCTGCAACGTAGAGCTGATGGCCCCGGTAGCCAATGCTCATATAAACTATTAGTTCTGATATTCACATCAGCACTAAATAATAATAATAATAATAATATAATAGCAAGTATACATACATGTATGCATACATTTATTTATTTTAAAGTTTATATTTAAATTAATTTAAATATACATATACATAAATATATATACATACATTTATTTATTTTAAAGTTTATATAATTCCGGTAAACTCCTTCATTAATTATTATAATGGTCACCCTACCCTAGATCCGTTGACACTAATCGATTTCACAAACTCAAACAATACAGACAATATATAACAACATTCGAAGATAGCAGCTACTTCGGTAAAGTTACCGAACAATTTGCATGCAAAAATTTTACGTCGGATAATACCAAATATGAATACCTCATAATTTCACTTCCCCAAGAAGTGGTTATGACAGTATTTGATATTATTCAAAATCCTCCTTCGGAAAATAAGTATGAAAATTTAAAAAAGCACCTCATAGAACGACATTCACTAAGTGAACGTAAAAATTAGACCAAGTGCTATCTACTTCAGAACTTGGAGATAGAAGTCCCTCTGAGTTATACTGATCTCTTTTGGTTTTAGCAGGTTCAAATTTTGGTGTAGATTGTTAAAGAAACTTTGGCTAAGAGTATTGCCCAGAAAATTGAATATTGCTGTAAATATTCAGGATATGCTTAAGTTAGCTGATGATATGTGGGAGGTAATGAATAAGGGTGCTATTTGTAGCACTAGTTTAACGAACACAAATTCACACATTGAAAAAACAATGGAAAATTTAGTAAAAATTACTTCTTCTATGTGTGAGAGTTTTGCAAAGAGGTTTTTTGTATAAGGCAGACTATGGAAAATAGATCAGCAAGAGCTTCTAGATCATTTAGTAGGAATCGTTCGCCAACTAGGTCAAATTCTTGAAACTGGCTTTGTAGATATCATTATCGCTTTGGCATTAAAGCAAGAAAATGTGAACATCCTTGTTCATACTGGCAACATGAATCTCAGCAAAACTAACAAAGACGAGATTTGAGTAGTCCACTTGCAAAGTGCGCTATGTAAATTTTTTTCGATTTTTAGTTTTTGGTGGTTAACGTACCAGTATTTAAAGAAGTTTCATGTCCACTAACAATACAGTGCAAAATCCTTACATATTCTGAAAAAATAGCATCAAATGTTAGCTACTCTAGCAAAAGTCGCTATAATACTTACTGTATGTATATATACACTTTCAAAAGTCGCTATAATATTTATGGTACGTATTTATACAAGTTCAAAAGTCTCCACCTTCTGATGAACTTAGAAAACTGTAAGAAAACATGGTAGTTCCGGTGCCTAGTGGAAGACGTCTCAAAAAAAGAAGCAGACCAAAAAAAAAATTTGCAAAAACTACCACACTGCGATTTTGATTTTTATTGTTATTACGCAACAAACATTGGGCTTGGTTAACAATTCGAAAATGATTCGAAAATGAATCTCTTTTTTCTAGTATCACCTTCGATAATGAATGTGGAAATAGGTTAGTATTCGATTCTTGAACTAGCCCGTTCTACAGCAAAACGGAACCTAACGAAGGTACGTTTACGTATTTTACCTTCGTTATGAATTTGAAATCCAGCTCATTCTCAAAGGGAAATATAAGACAATCACTCTCTCTCATTAGAGTTCACTTCGATAATGGGCTGGATTTCGAATTCATAATGAAGGTAAAATACATTGGATAACGAAGGTTCCGTTTTGTTGGAGAATGGCCTAGTTCTCGAATCGAATACTAACCTATTTCCACATTCATTATCAAAGGTGATACTAGAAAAAAGAGATTCGTTTTCCAATCATTTACGAATTGTTAACCAAGCCTAATAAATATTGGTCATACATATTTGTTTTTGAAAAAAGGAAAGTATATTTGATTAACGTTTAAGTATAGTTACTTTTTATTTTAGAGGTTTTTGTAATTTTTTTATAAGAAATTCGTTGTTAAATAAAGTATACTTCATTAAAAAAACAAATTAATTAAATTAAGAGATCATATTCATGATGTTATTTAAGTACATAAAAGAAAAATACTTATTCTAACTATTAACTATTTAGTTTTAATATTTTCTTGATTAATCGTCTTTTTTGTTATACGGGTTTTGGCTTGCTGGAAAAATGTAATTGAAATCTGCTCGAACTCTGCGTCGGATGAACTCGAAAACTTTACTGAAAATGCTTCTGAAAAGATAGTTTGGCGCTCTATAGACTAGTATTAGACTTTGTTTTAGAACTAAATACTTTTAATAACTGCCGTCACACTTAATGATCGGATTGGGTGCTTCTTATCTGTGCCTTTCCAGCAAAATGACTGTGCCGCTTTATCGTCAATAATGCTCCTCCAACACATTTTTACAAACTTATCCGGGTTTGATGAGGTAAGTGTTTTTAGCTGCGAAACCTGAGAAGTAAATCAGAAAGGCGTGATATTAGGTGTTGCTTTAGTAAAACATAACATGGCTTAAAGGGGTTTCTTTAAAGCAAATCAAAATAGCTTACCAAAATTTCAAATTTTTCGTCCTTTTCTAAAGTTTGTAAAAATTCCTCTGGAGAACTTAAAGGGACTTTAGGAAGGACTCGTAATGAAGGTGGTGTTGTTGTATTAATTCTGCTGTTTTCGGAGATGATCTTCAACGACTTCACTTCTTGTAGTATACGAGTTAATACTCTTTCAATGCCTTCCTGTTTGTTTTGAACTACCAAATAAAAATGAAAAGTATATTATTATTTTATTTTAACAAGTTAGTACTTCCGTTACTGTTTATTACCTTCTTCAATTTTTCCCATTATTTCTGTTTTCATTTTGTTTAGTTCTGTAGGGAAATAAAAGAGTTAGCGTGGCATTATTATAATTTGAGAATGCCTACCTGTTGTGGTGACAATACTATTATCGGCATTTTCAATAAATATGGTATTTAAATCTGCATCCATCTTCGCTGTTTACAATGCTTTATGAATTAAAGAAATGAAAACAAAGGTATGTTCGTTTAAATCGTGCAACAGCATGGCTTTTTCTATAATATCTTTAGCTTGATAATAAATATCGCCTTCGAAGTACTCAATCTTACAACAAAATTTTATATTAAATGTCTCGGATTTAATAGGTGATTCAAAAAAGTTATTTAGGCTTTTGAATTTTTTAGACTTAATCACAGTTTCAGAATTACATTCTAAAATTTCTTTTATCTCAAAAAAATCGTTTCCTACTATATATATATATATTATATATAGTATATTATCTGGGAATTTCGAAGAAAAATGAAATGTATCCGTTTTGATATATTTAATTTGTCCGCTTTTATTTTTTTTTATATTGGTTTTTTGAATTAATTCCTTTTCTTGGATTTTGCTCTGTTCCACTAAGCGATTATATAGCTGTGTCCCAACTAAGTTCTTTTTTCTATGTTTCCTTTTCAAAACTGAGAGATAGTTTTCGTATTTAAAAGCGCTGAAGCTCTCCAAGCTACCGAATATGTAAGCATCGTCTGCTATGTGGATAAGGCAATGTGAATTGTAAAACAACAGTTCATGCGAGTAGAAATTGTTAATATTTTCGACAAAATCTCTTAGTAGAACTTTGGCACAGTTATTGTTGCGCTTACATTCAATTTTATTCAATAAAATGCGTATTCCCAAGCTTAAGTATAAAAAATGCGTGTATCTGTCGAAGTCCAGTAATCCTTTCAGAACAAAAACTCCTGAGTATAGAAGGAAAGACCTGAATTCTGTCGCTTTACACCGATCGACTTCTTTCAGAGCTCTTGGTCGCCTGGCAAATTCCTTAGGAAATTGATCAGATACAAAAAGTAGCCGAGCATTCAACTTTTCAATATCATGTCTTCCAAGCAGTTGCCGATCTTTCAACCAAAATTTCAATAACGTTTTGGTTACTCCCAAACAAACAGCATGCATGTAGTCTATTGGAAAGGATTGAACTAAGTTCATTTTAAAATTTTCTAACACTATTGGCTGCAATTTGTTGTGATGGTCTGGGTTCAATCTGGATCTGAATGCATAATCTGAACGACTCTCAGAAAGATTATTTTCAGGCCAGAATATCATTCTATGGTTAATACTTTCTCCCTCTTGTACGCATTAATGGCAGCAGAAAAATCCTGTGTGTCCTTTAATTTGCAATATGAATGCTCTTGCTGGAGTATCGCAAATAAATGAACGGCACTTGACGCTGAAAATTCTCTCTTTAAACGAAAATCCGTGTTCTATTAGATGTTGCAGTTCACTAACAAATTTTTCTAGAAATTGATCTGGATCCTGGGGTTTACTCTTTCCAGAAAAAGCTACAACAGCTAACACATTTCCAGATCCCTCCACATTGACTTGTATAGGCCAAATTTGGGACGTGCTACTTTTCGCTAACGGAAGCCCGTCAATATTTGTATTCAAATGCAGCACTTCCTCTTTAAAATTACTTTTCAACAAAAAGTCTGTTAAAGCAAGCCATAATGCACATATTCTCCACCATTACTTTTTTCGACTGGGGCATCTTTTGGTGTCATTTTTAAGGTTCTTGCATCCATAGGTGGTCCACTTAATTTAGGTGTTAAGAGTTTCAGTAGGGCATTCGTGGCATCGTTCGTAATACTAAATTTTATTACCCATTTTTGCAATTCCTCTTTAAAATTTGAAATATTTAGGTCTTCGTCACTATCAGATGCGGAGCTATAGCTAAAATCAGTAAGATTGTCATAATCTTCATTCAAAGGAAAGTCTTCCGAAGCTGGAAGAGTAGTCGCGTTTGGAATATCTGAATATGTAATCCCAACATTCATTTGTTGTTGTTGAGGTTGCATTAGCATGCTTACAATTTCACTGCATTCACGTCTAATTGTTTCTGAAGCTTTCATTTTATTTAAATTATATTATTTTCTAAATTGCTAGTTACCAATTTTTATTTTCCCGAAAACAAACGCGCGACCCCCTTATTTGAAAAAATGAAACTATAGGCTGAATTTCTTTATTCATTCTGAACGTTTGGAATAAACTTTTTTGTTTACTTATTCTTTAGAACGTTCCTGATGATATGTTAACGTATATTTCAAACGTATTCTGTTTATTCCGGCTGTGAAATGGGATTATCCGGAATGTATAAAGAAACGCAGCCATAATAAACATGAAATTCCCAAAAGCATTAAAATACGCAACTTGCTGTCTTGTTACTATGGTTCTCATTTTATTTTCGAACCAATTTCGAGTGTATTTCCAACACACTATGAACGGTGGAAAACTAAGGTTGGTTATGAGTTCGTTCACAGTTCGATATTCATATTGGATATTGAAGGTATTTTTCGAACGTTCGCCACAATGTTTATTGGGTAGGCTCTTATTTATCCAAATTTTCAGATAATAAAAAGAAATTTACAATTTGGATATTACTTGTTGTTGTAGACGTTTTTTTTTAATTTATGGCTTACTATTATAAAATCACATAACGCTGTTTGCAAGTGGACTACTCATTTCAACACGTCGCAGTATGGGGATTTGGCGGAAAAAAGTCTGATTTTCAACATACCTCTATGGAATTTTTAATGATGTTTCGAAATTCTAGGAAAGTGTCTGCAATAAAATCAAAAGGAATTACTATATTCCGACCTATAGTTTTTTTCTACAGCTCTTCGAAAGTAACACTTCTGACTGAAAAATAACTCCAAATTTAAAGACGATTTTTTTTCTTTTTCTTGGACCGACTTCCAATTGATTATTTTTTCTTTAAGATTTGATATTTTGGGACGCTGAAACCGAAAGAACAAAGACTATAAAGAATTTGGTTGCATAGTTACAATTAATTTTAGAAGGGTATAAAAACAATACTCTTTTTTTGCTGAGACCTGCGATTTTTGCGTTATCAGGTGTTGGATACTACCTAGGTGTTGTTTCAGGTACAATCAGTTCCAGCTGCACATATGGCCGATTTTTTTTTTATGTGCAACTATAATATGTAAACTCCCTCTAATGTATTTTTAATGACAAGGAAGGCTTTCGATCTTTATGTTATTTATTATTATTATTTTTATTATATTATTATAATTACATATAAATGTAAAATAATTGTTGTATGTGCATATTATTCGATAGGTATTTTTTCCAAATTATGTAGAAATAAAGAGAGAATAAAAAATGTCTTCTTCATCCGCTACCTAAATATTTTCGGTTAGGTTAACGGCAGTTTAGACCGAACTGATCATCCACATTAGTTAATTTGTACATTATCACCTTGAATATGAATAATTCTTGAGGAAACAATGCTTAGGTAGTACGAGTACATGCATCAGTAGTTAATTACCAAAAAATAAATTCAATACTTCCAAGCTTCCGAGCGAATTGCCATTGCACTTTGCTATCATATTAGCCGCAACGTCAAGAGCAAGAAGCAACAGAAATTAGCATTGTTAATCAGAGGTAAATCTATATAAATATATATAAATCAAAAGCAGACACTACATATAGAGATATTTATTAACTTTTATAATGGAAAGTTTCACAATTTCATACGCAGATTTGTGCATGAAGCTTATACAATGTGGAAAAGATAGAACAAAATTTAAATTGTTGGAAGAATCTTATATCGAACTAAGTAAACGTAGAATTGACCGTAGAAACATTTTTATTGTAATTTCAAATTAAAGTGGCTGAACTCTATTCGGATGAAATCGCGGTTTGAATATAACAACGCTAGTTGGCTTAAAGGAACATTTAAAATTGAGTTTAGCAGTGATGAGTGTGAACCTTCAACCAGCTGTATATTTGGTCGTCCATGAAAACCTTTTGGCGAGTGCAGCGATCGTGCTAAGCGATATAAATGGGATGAAGTACGTGCTAAATTTTCCCAAGAGCTGATTGATTTTGCGTCTACTTCTAATAGTTTAAAAACTGATCAAAAAGTTTGCCCAAGAAAAACGGCTGGTATGTTTACAAAGCTTGAGTTGACAAAAGAAAAATATGAGTATCTTAAGCATTGGTTACAGAATGAAGTCTGTGACACGAACACCAGCAGCATCTTCGTGTTGTATTTGTGGAGCCACAACGTCACAAATAAATAATACTGAAAATGTTCATCTCAGGACTGTAAATGAAGAAGCACTGAAATTCGGTATGTCACCTGTACATGCTTGAATTAAGCTGATGGAATGTATTCTACATGGAGCTTACAATATGGATTTTCAATGAGGGACAGTGGATTCAAATACTCGTCCAATGAGAGATGCCCGAAAAGAGTTGATAAAACGTAAACTGAAATATAAAAATGGTATACATGTAGATACTATTAAGCAAGGAACGGGTACAACAAATTCTGGAAACACGTCACGAAGAATCTTTGCAAATCCAGCTTTGGTTTCTGAGATCATGGGTCTGGACGAAG